ATTTCATTGTGAAACTCATTTCTGTTTTAATAAAAATAAATATCTAATTGTGAGCACCCTATATGAGTGAAATCAATGAAAATGAAGTGATGGATCTATAGATTTATAAAGTTAAAACTCTCTGATACTGAGGTTTCAGTTTTACGTGTAAGTTCTTTTGTTTTTTTTTTGCTCATTTTGTGGATTGAGATTTAAGATTTACGAGTTTTGAGGTTATAGATTTTCAGGTTATGGGTTTTAGAGTTATAGGTTATCGATCTCAAGGTTATTGAGTTATGAAAGTATAGGGTTGATATTGTTGGGTTTCATAGTTTCAAGCTGTTTTTTGAGGTTAGAACAAAACGCTGACGTGATGGGGCAAAATAGGTTTCGGATTCGATTTCAGCGACCCAAAAACATATAATCCACTTGGTCTGGTTCAAGGAACCATCCACTTATTTTTTCCACTCATTTTTTTTGTGGTCCTGTGTTATTTAATGTACTTTTAACATGTTCACTGTAGCCCCTTATTAGCACAGTTGTTCTATATGCTGAACATGTTTTTTTATAAATTGAATTTTTTGTCCAAAAATCACAAAAATTTATTTAAAAATAAATTTCTGCATTCTTTAGGCCCTTTTGGCATTCTCCTGCAGCAGTGACACTTATCCATGTCATCAGCATGTAGACATGTCTTTGTTATATGCCGATCGACGCGGATCTGTGTCATTTTAGCACAAATGTAAATAAAAACAATTTCTCTTATAAAAAATCTCATATAAAACAAAGTAATAATAAATACATATAAATTGATATGAAAAGATAAGTAAAGAGAAATAATCAATAAAAGAATATGAAACATTACGTCACACTCTAAACTAGTTTGAGTGATACTGAGCAAAACACTCTTCCACACACAGTCTAGGCTCATTGGGACATTGCTCGCAGCGATTACTCTTCTTGATTTTGTTTCTGCTGCACATTGCACATCGCTATCGTTTTGTCTCTCCTTTTGCGTTTTTTGCTTGTTTTTTTAGGAAAATGTGCTCGAGGATGTGATCTATTTCTTGTTTCAGTGGCCGTTTGATTTTTTCCTTGTCAACACCCAGCACGGATCGTATTACCACTAACTGAAATTCGTATAAAGCCATTTTTTGTTAGATTATTGATTATACAAGAGATGCGCATTTAAAAACATTAGTTGAGAAAATGTACCCCACGTTTTTTCATACCAACGAAGTGTCTTTCCACTATAAGGATAATATGCCAGCATCCGATCTTGGCAATCATTCCATTCATATATTCATTGTAACGAACAATAGATAATGGCTTACAGACAATCTTATTGCGCCTATTTGTAATGTCAATCATTTGACTGGGGATTTCCATGCTGATGTAGAGCCTTCATAAATGTTTTTTTTCTAAAATGTAAACACCTGAGGACAAGCAAAAGCGATCTCTACTCATATGTTGAGAGAAACATTTCAAGCCAAATAGTCGATCACTATTCCTATTTACCTTTATTGTGTTCATATGCAATAATAAGCCCATAAATGTATGTAATTATAGCAGTCAAGTTATTCGTGATTTGACATTTGCTTCATACAAAAATATAACTTCGGCTTGTTTATTTGTTTCCTCTAATATCATTTTTAGACAATTTTCATCGCCAATCAAAAAGAAGTAATCTATTGGCAATCCATTTCCCGCAAGCTGTACAAGTAATGTTTTTATTTTTGTAAATGGTATATTTTTATGTCGGCACCATCATTCCATAAACTGCTATTTGTATTTGTTCCAGTAGCCGATCCTGTATTTGCTGCTAAATCATCAGTATCTCAATTTTCAGTTTCAGAATCTAAAATATTATTATATAGCACTTTATATAAAAAAAAGTCAAAGAATTTTACCTGAAATATTCTCATTATAAGTATTTTCCTCACTATCACACACTGCCATCATCATCCCCAACAAAATTCGTCATTTGAGAAACTTAGATTTGCAAGTAATTCTATTTCTTCAGCTGTTATATTTTTAGGGTCTCTTATTTGTATTTTAGGTCTTTTGGGCCTTGAAGGATCTGCTTCACAATTTTCCATGGCATAATTTTTCAACAACGCAAATAATATACAGGGTATCCCAGAATAACGTGTACAATGGAGGACCACAGATTCGTGGACTCAAAATAGGCAGATCTAGGCTAATTCACCTATATCTGAAATCGCTTCGTTTGGCCACTAGATGACCTCAAAGTTCGTGAAAATTTTTTGAATTTTGTAAATAACTCGAATACATATTAATCGATTTTGATTATTTTTGCTTTCAATCTACATATTTTGGTGCTATACAGAGTGTTTTTTAAAATCTGCAACTCCTACAATAATAATAATAATAATGATAATAATAATAATACATTTATTTTCTTCAGAGACAGTAACATACTGTATAGGAATAGTCACAAATATAAATTTAGGATATAAAAAATTCATCCAACATATAAAAACATTTCTCGGTCAAATAAGACTTCAGTTCACATTTAAATTTTACAAAGTTACAGATATTCTTAATCTCGTTCTTAATACTATCTGGTAAATCTACCATTTTGTCGCGTATTTTTACCATGCTTGTCAAAATTCGTAGAGAACTTATTATTAAAAATATACACACACAACTCATAAATCAACACAGAATCAACAGTCAAAATATTTAAATCTTTAAAAACACATCTACATGAGGAAGTACCCATCTCAAAATTCTTTTTTGCGCAATAAAAACATCCAATGTTAAGGCGGAATTACCCCATAGCAGATGCCGTATCGTAGTCTGGACCTTACTTGCGCATGATATATTTGCAGAAGTTGAGTATTCGATATAACTGGTTTCAGATTTCTCATTAAGTAACAGACTGATTTTGTAGGTACCTGACAATTCTTAGGGAGTGTTTACGGGATGAGATATACCACCTGCTACTTCATTTTTCGATATGGATATACACACATATGACGAAATAGAATTATTTACTACATACCTAATTTTATTCAAAAAATTAGAACAAACAATCAAATACAACTCATTGATAGCATTATCATTAACCCTGTTATTCTACCCAATAGACTGAATGGGGAATTTTGTTTATAGAATTTTTGCAAAACACTTTACCTGAGTTACTCAGGTTACTCCGTTATTGCTCAGAGCTAACATGTGATCGATAGAGGGGATAATGTTCCTTTTAACTGGGCTGTTCGTTCACCAGACTTAACACCTTGTGACTATTATCTTTGGGGTATTTTGAAAACAAACTAACACTGAAGAAGAGTTGTGGAGGCATATCCAAATTGCCATAAATGTTTCAAAAAAATTGCACTCAAGAACTACAAAGGGTGTCCTTTAATTTTCTTTGCCGAATTAACCTTTGCTGTTGAAACAACAGTGGTCATTTTGACCACTTTTTATAATAAGTTGTACTAAATCTAATAACATCAACTTTATTACTTTTATCTACAGCATTTTTTATTGTATTTGATTATTTTTACTAATTAGCTCAATAAAATTAGGCATGTTGTAAATAATTCGTCGTATATGTGTGTGTATCCACATCGAAGTAACATGTGGTATATCTTATCGTAGTAAACACTCATTAAAAATTGGCAAGTACAATGACTTAAAGATCAAACTGAAATTAGAGTCAACTTACAAAATCAGTGCCTACTATACTCCACGGTCGAAATTATACAGAGTGATTCATCGCTAGCTTTTGGACTAGTAAGGGGGATGAAGCGTGCCGGGAACAAAAATCCATTGCCGTGTCTGCGTAAAAGGCAACAAGATATAGAAAATAATGAAAAAAGATAATAAAACATAACATCTAATATTTTTTACGGTTTGCTATAACAGGCACTTTGATCCATTTTAATTATTACAGCATTTTAAAACGTCCCAATTGTGTTTTTTTAATTTATAAATTTATTATAGCCATGGAATTATACCCCTCGTCTACGCTTATGTTATGACGTTTCTCAGGACGGGTTAAATCAAGTCCGTTTACACCCACTAAAAAAGCATTTCCCTATTCCCTACCAAGTGCAAAAGACAGAGATAGAATATAGATCGACGTTCAGTGTAACTCGGTCTTTAGACGATTATAGATTCTATCGATGTGCGTAGCGAGCGGCACAAAGATAAATAATATTGAACCGTATAAAAATCATTTTATATTTTATACGCATTATGGTAATAGAGTTTTTATATTATGTCTTAGTCACTCTTTATAATTTCGACCGCAGAGTATAGCACTGTTAAGTATTGTAATATGGGTCACAAGATAATGTAGACATTTGAAAAATATTTTTTTTGTACCCTAACTGCTCATTTAATCAAAATTCTACAAGAGGCACAAAAACTTCCAAATAGTATCACATATCAAATAAAAAATAGTTGTCATTATTGCCCGAAAGAGGAAAAAGTTATGAACGGATATTATCAACATACATCAATATTGTAGGAGTTGCAAGTCTTAAAAAACACCAAAATGTGTAGATCGAAAGCAAAAGTCCACACCCCAAAAATAGTCGAAATCGAATAGTATGTATTCGAGTATTTAAAAAATTCAAAAAATTTTCACGAATTTTGAGGCCATCTAGCGGCCAAACGAAGTGATTTCGGATATAGGCCAATTAGCCTAAATCTGCCTTTTTTTGAGTCCACGAATCTGTGGTCTTCCGTTGTACGTTATTCTGGGACACCCTATATGTGGAAAAAAATGGCAAACGAAAACACTTCACACACTTACGAATACATAAGCTGTGTGCTGACTAAGCCACATACACTAATGTCCAGTGGTGACACGATCGACCTGCCTTTGCATGTGACATGGATCTGTGTCGCCTGAGGGATAATTATGTGATACGGATCTGTGTCAGCTGTAGTGAACATGTTAAAAAAAAATTTCTATTTCTATTTAAGAATTATCAAAAATATGGCACAAGCATAAAATAAAATAAATAAAATTTTGGATCACTCACCTTGCTGAAGTAACCAACTGTATGGCATCCCTCGTTATCAACCATAGTCATCACATAAAACAAAAACGGCTCCACGTCATAATACAAAGTCTTATGGTCCAAAAAAAATTTGGCAAGCAAACACAAATTCTGACAATATTGTTTATACCTCTTCCCGTCGACTTCCCACACACTAATTTTGTCTTTCCGATATACTTCCTCGCCGGGAGGGTGCCTCCACACACATTTAAAAACGTGACGTTCTAATATCGTCCTCGACTTCATGTACCTTAAGCAATATTCACAAATATAGAGTTTAGGCAGCCGCGCGTAGTCTTCGGGGTAAGGGCTCTGATACCAGACCTCCATTTCAAATTTACCCATTTCGATATACTTGGTTCCTTTTGTACTGGGTAAAGTTTTAAGGTCTTCCTCGATTTTTTCGCTGGCTAAAGCTTGAGCATCTTGAAACAGTTTCAAATCATATTCAGGTACAAAATTAGTTAGCACGGGTTGCCGGGTTTTATCTACACAAGGTTTAATATCTTCAATAGGTTCAGTTTTGAATTTACTACGTATGTCTCTAATTTTTTGTAGGTACTGTTTTTGTTCTGACGTTGCAGGAGATCGCGGTGATTTCTTATGATATTCTAAGGCCTTTTTTCTTATTTCTTCTCGTTTCCTGCGCTCCTCTACCTCATCTTTACATTTTTCTATTATTGTGTTGTGGTATGCCGGACATGCTTCTAATGTAAAATGTTTGTCGAATTTACCTGAGAGATGTCCATTACTGTCACAACCTTCTAAAGGACATTTCCTTTCCTCCATTATTATTATATCGTTCCCCTTGGCTTTATTATCAACTCGTTTATTGTTTTTAGTTTTACCTTTCGTTACAATCGGAGCCTTTTTCACAGGAGACCTCGACAAAGACCTTTTAGTGCTTTCGGTATCGGAATCAGTATCCGAATAGACATTTTTTCCTAAAACATGTTTTGATTTTCGCGTACTGGCCGATCTTGTTAACTTTCTCGTAACTTGCTTTGATTTATCTTGGGATTCATTTTCAGAATCAGAATTTGCACCTGCTTCCTTCTGAACAACTGTCGGCTTCTTCACTGGTTTTTTAATTACCTTTCTATTATTTCCAGATGATTCTCCACTGCTTTCACTCTCCGAACTACTGCTGGAGCCACTTGTGGATGAGGCAGAACTTGCTGATGTTTCTAAAATAATAAAACTAAATCAAAAATCAACATTTTATAATTTCATTTCATACGTTATTTAAGTTTTATAGCCAAAGGTTAAAATTTCAAAATCTTGTCGTATTAGTAGATATTTATTAAGTCAGTTAAAAACTCTATGTTGAAACTCTATATTGATTGAAGTTACTTATTTGAATGGAAATGTCAATTTGTAGCATTTTAGCTTACAAACCAAATATATTTTCAAGTCATACATAAAGATAACTATACAGGCTGTAACACCACGAACTCCATCGACGGATATCTGGGAACCGCTTGAAGGATTTTTTTTGAAATTGTGACAGTTGTCATGTTGATTGTTACTTACCTGTCACGGCCAACCTCAAATGTGCGAAACAAATGGAAATATCATCGTAAGAAAAGGGAAATGTTTATTCGTAAATAAAATGAAAACCACTGGGTTTAGGTATAGGGAAACTTTAACAAAGTTACGCTTAATTTTAGTGCGGAATGCGAATACGTTAAAAAATTAGGGGTTTCCATTTAAAAATTTCGAGTTTTCCACATTTGCTGAACTTCATATTCGATAATTTTTTTTTGACCACCCTGTATAAAACTGGAAAATTTGCATGTCAAATTCGACAAATTAGGTCTCCCTCTACAAAATGTCCAATTTGCACGAAAAAATAAATCTACATTGCCAGGAAACTAAATTTTGCTGACAGTCTGCATCTGTCAATTTTTGCTTAAAAATCAAAATATCTCGGAAACAGTCAATCCTAAGTATGGTGTGTGCTATATGTTTTCAACTTAAAAATAGATGCTCTTTCCAAAAATGCAATAATATACAGGGGGTTCCATTTAAAATAAGAAAGTTGGTATCGACTTGAAAATATTTTAGATCGTCGCAATTTCAAAAAAATCCTTCAAACGGTTTCTCAGATATCCATCGATGAAATTCGTGGTGGTATCCCAGGGTATTCTGTATAGTCATACATATTTTTTTATTTGTCTTCCTTTTTGTGTGACATTTATTTCTCAGACAAATATTTCTTCATAATATTAACCCTTGGCTGACAGCTTTGGTATAAAAGTTCCATTAATTCATTTCCATTTTTTTTTCATATGGACAATCTAGCCAAAGAAGCAAAGAAAACATTAATGGAATTTTAATCCCACATTAAAGCTTTTCTAAACATGCTTTTGCTAAATTTGTATTCTTCAAAGTTTTTTGTATAATATATTTTCTTAGTAGGTATAATATTACCATAATATTTTCAATTTCATTTTGATTGATCTTCATTTGCTTTTTTATTTATCTAATCTAATTCTCACCTACTTCATATTAAATGTATTTTTAAACTGTTTTAAATTAGAAAATACATATACCTACTGTAAATGAAATAACTAAGTTTTCTGATTTAAAACTACATTTTTTAAACATAAAAGTACCTATTTACAAAGTATTTTGGAATATATGAGTTTGTAGAATAATTCTAATCTCTGATATAAATCAGATTTAATACCGGCTAAGGTACATGTGTTCCAAGATTTTGAATTGAGTATCCATCACACAATGTGGCTGCTCTCATTTGAATACCTTCCAATGCATTTGAAGATGATTTTAAGCAACTCGTTTGCTTCTGCTCATGTACACTTCAAGGTTCCAAGGCACATTCTGTACCATTGGCTTTGGCCAGTACCACTAATATCACATGTGCCGATGTTGGCATTGCAATAGAACCTGATCTATATGTGGCTTAATGTTTGCTCATACTAGCTTATTACATAGCCATGTTATAGACCATGAAATTTCCAACAGATTTGCTTGATCAAACTAATTTCAAGATGTCATTTTGACATCATGTTTAGTTTGATAAAACTGTCAAACTAACGAAACTTTTAGTGTTTTCCGATTAAATGAAAGACGGAGAGAAAACAAAATATTATTCAAATAAATTAACTTACAGCTTTTTTGGACCATTCTTTATTTTATTAATTTGATCTAATCAATTTGATCAAAATAATTTAATGGTATGAAATTCAATTTTGATGCCACCATCAAAAAAAACTTGACGGAAAACCCATAGCCTTGCGCAAGCTATAACTTTTAATTTTTTTAGGTTTGTAAACCAAATTCACATACCAATTTTTTTGCAGATAGATGACACAATACAAAGGCATCTAGTAGGTTTACAGGTCTACTAAAACAATGAACACATGACAACTGAATTTAGAACTGTAATTTGTTTACTATCTTAAAGAGGCTAATTAATCCAAAATTAATCTAAAACAGAATAATAACACCATAAATCTAACAGATATTGCCCACAATTGTAGGATAAACTTGATTATCCGGACTATGTTAATCGAAATTCCATATAAAATATTAAGATAATACGTATTTGGAGTACCTATGTGTTTTATGTGGTTTAAGACCATCTACTATGGTTACAATTTAAAATAATATTTTAATAAAGTATTCTAGAAAATTAAAAATTATTGTACTAGTGGCGGCTCGCTAAAATTAACGTGGTTATATTTTGATGGAACCCATACCATTTTTTGAGAAATGATTTCTAGTCTCTTATAGTTTTCCATGAAAAAAAAATGTTGAACGAACAATAAGGATGGCCGACCCTGATATCTCAAAAAGTGTTACACATATTTATACAATTTATTTTTTATTTCATAATCAACGAACAGATACTTATGTTTTCTTATTTTTCACAAAATTTTCTTTTTTTCTTAAAATTAAGAAGTTAAAAAAATTAAATGATAATATCAAATTCACATTTAAATATACAGTAAAAAATTGGTTATAAAGACATTGCTTTATATGACATATTGGATATAACGACGGAATTTGGAAGCCCCGATTAAATGCTACAAAAAAACCATATTAAAAATATCGTTTACTACGACACCATTTACAACGACATTTCGTTTAGCGACGCATTTTTATATACATTTACCATAAAATCTATCAGTTATAACGACCAATAGTAACATACAGCTTTAAAACCAATGCACCGTTCTTCCGCCCATCCCGCTGGCATCCACGCTTTGGCACCAGTTAGTACATTTGGGACAAATTACGACTTATTTACGCATATGTAGTATGTATTAATTGCCACTTTCTATCATGATGTCGAAGAGCAAAGTGTTTAATAAAGAAGAAAAACCACATATAATATAGATACTAGAAAATAGAAAAACTAATGCAAATATAGCAAAAGAATGTGGCGTGTCACACTCTACGATTTGAACAATTTGGAAGGATAGAAATAAAATAAAGTCTGTATTCGAAAACAATTCACTGATTCACATACTTAAGACTTGTATTGCAACTGTCTCATTTTTTCAATAAAAAATTTAAATAAAGTATATGTAATTGCTTATTACGTCTATCAGTTATAACAACCATAAAGAAACGGTCCCTTGAAGGTCGTTATAACCGATTTTCATTGTATATCACTATGAAAGAAAATTAATTTTGCAAAAAATAAAAAAGACACCTGATTACATCTATCAGTTGAGCATAAAAAAATATTTTGCAATTATATGTGCACCCATTATCAAGATGTCAGGATTTTTTTTGAAATTTTGAACTTAGAACAGTACGAATCTCATGCTCCATTATCAAAATACGACCATTTTAATTTTCAAGAACCGTCACTGTAATGTACATAATAAATATATGCTAAGTTAAGTGATTTACATACTAGTAGACAAAGAGTACTAAGTCATCAATAGTACAGTTAGAACTATAGTCTTGTACTGAACAAAGCACATAAATCATTGCAAAATCAATAGATTTATAAATCTATATCTGAAAACAGATTAAAAAAGAGACAGTTTCTGTAAAATGGGTTTTTGCACGCAGACATTTGTGATCGAGTGATCATCGTCAGCCAATTCTGCAATTGACAACATGCATAATCGTTTGGATTATAAAATACATAGGCTTGTCGCACAGCAATCATTTTAGAAATGGAGAGATCAGAATAATAAGAGATCAAATTGGATAGGATTAGAGAAAAAACATTAGAGGCAACAATTTCATTTTGATATACCTTAATCTGACTTCATTTAATTGTTATAAGCTATTTTAGAATCACAAAGAATTTAGGTGAATGCAATTTTCAATTTTTTGGTGCAAGATTGTCAGTTTTATTAATAGTTGTTAGTATTGGTTGATTGTCTGAATATTAAGGTTTACATACCAATAATAGCTTTTGACTTTGGCTGAGCCTTCTCAGGTTTCTTCTCTGGTTTTGGTTTCTCTACAGTTCTTGCAGCAGCTTTTGGTCTTGGTTCCGGTTTAGATTTTGGTTGAGTTACTGTTTTAATAACGGTTTTTGATGTATTCTTAGGAGAATCTGACTCAGAGCTGTTTTCTGGAGAAAATATACTCTTTTTCTTACTTGGATCATTATTTTTTGCCCCAGATTTTTGCTTAGGTTTCTGAGGTTCCTGTTTGTTGTTAACCTTTATTGTTGCCTTAGAATTATTAATCTTAGGCTGTTTGGAATTTGAATTTATTTTAGTAGAAGCAGTCGAACTGGTTTTTGGAGTAATGGTGGCACTACTTTTCGGTTTAACATTGCTTTTTCTTTTAACCGTTTTCTTATCGTCTTCGTCTGAAGAATAAATGGTAGCCTTCACAGGAGGTTTATTAGTTTTTACATGCTGTACTTTTGCTTTAACACCAGGCTTTATTTCAGCAGCCTTATTGTTTGCACTCTTAGAAATGTCAGTGCTTTTTCGCTTTTGAATTGGAGCTAATTTTTTCGGCGATTCCGTATCAGACTGATTTTTTGTAGAACCTTGTGAACTTGTAGATTCGCTATCACTAGATGAAGAGGAGTCTGAACCACTAGATGAGGAACTAGAGCTGGAAGAGTCAGAAGTTGAACCAGAACTTGATTCAGTAGAACTTCCGTTCTAAAAAAAACAATTTAAAAGTATTTATAAGAAATTATTATAATTATGCTTACCTTTTTTTTATTAGTCATTGCCGTACACATAAGAACTCTTGTTATTATTTGTTTTTTAAATTTAAGGTTTGTTTTTGTCAAATTTTTAGAGGTTCTAATTTGACATATGATAGATGACAGTTGTCAGTTACCTATTTGTTAAAATCGTTTTCGTCTTTACCGAGTTTTGACAGTTAAATTTGTATATATTCTGCTTAAGGCGAATACGAAACAATACGCTGAACAATACGTAAATAAATTGAACGTTATATTACGACGGCATTACAAATATTACGATATTGCAAAATTAAAAGCAAAAGTTTGGCAGGTAGCAATCAGAAATAGATAAACTTTAAAGCAATATATCTAATAGTATTAGTATTATTAAAATAGTGAATAACTTTGTTCTTAACATTTAGGTACATTGTACGTATTGAGTTCAACGTAATGCCAAATACATATGAAATATTTTCCATTATTAAGTAATATACAAAATTGTAGAGGTTTAGTTGTATGTTAACTGATAATGAGTAACGATTAACGTTACCGTTACATTTGTTGTTTGAGTTGTAAACACTTACGACCATCTTAAGAATTTAGGGCAAATGACATTGACACTTGACAGTGACAGTTGTTGTATTTATGTTTTGTGGTGACACTGGTGACAGTTCCGTGCGATTGAAATAGATATGTGATGTGTCAAACTTGTCAACAAAAGACTTTTTTTCTAAAATGTCTTGTCACATTCGCCTGACAGCTAATATACAAGGCATTAGTGATATAAGAAGATGTTTGTTCCCTACAGATGATCAGAGAGGTATTACTATTTTTCTTTATTATAAACTATTTTCAATCTTTTATTGCAGGCACTGATAGTTGGTTACAGCTTTGTGAGATTTCAGTTTCGCCCATTGGAGACCTAATTGTTATTGCAAATGAAAGAAAAATTGTTGTCCTTAGTTCGAAATGGGATTCTCAGTCCTCCATGAATCAATTCCAGATATCATTCTCAGGATCAATACATGAGTATGATAAAGTAAAAGCTGTTTTATGTTTACCAATTATTGGACAAAGTCAGAACAGTCATGTAGGGCCTGACTGGACCTGTATCCTGATAGGATATGATTCTGGCTTTGTAAGATTTTATACTGAGTATTGCGAACTTTTAATGGAAGAACAGTTTCATTGTGAAAATATTACCACTGTAAAATGCCAGTCGCAACATAGTCCCAGGCCAGATATATCACCAAATTTACACCCAGAACAAATTTATATACAGTATCAGAGTAATGTATGTGTTATAAATGGAGCCCATCTGTTCCCTCATTTAAGAAATTGTTGCAGTCAGCTAGCGAGAGGTATATTGTTATCTGATTAAACAAAACCCCGCCAAATTTTGATATATGTTTGATTAAATATATTTCCGTACTTATAGTACGTTTTTTTAACCATTCGCCTTATTAAATTATAAAATACACTACAACAAAATTATAGCATTTGGAAAAAATATATTGCAAATAACCATTTCAGTATTAAAATGGATTTTAATCAAAAAGTTACATAAACTACTTTTGCAGTTCAAGCCAAAGGTGAACTATTGCAGTTGCCTCCTTTGTCCCTGAGTCCTAAAAAATGGGGTTTTCAAGACCAAGCAGTTATACATGACAGTGCTGTTGTCGGTTTTAATTTAGCAAGCCCTTTTGACCACCTATTGACAGCATCAACTTGTGGTGGTTTCGAAACGAAATATCGGGCAGTGCCACCACATAATACTTTGGTACTTGCGGCTGGCTGTAAACCATTTCTTGGGTATCATTATGCCTTGGAAGGTGGTGCACTACCCGTTCTCAGTGATGTAGCTAAAGCTGTCGCTAGCAAGTTGAAATCAGCGTTACCGTAAGTTTAAACTTTTAATAATTATACTATACTTTTAACTTCTGAAATAAACATTTTATAGTTTATATATAATAATAATAATAATATAATAATATCTCTACTCCTCATTCTAATTACGAGAATTAGCCCAGAAGTCGGAGACTTGTGCGGGAGAGGAGGCGGCATATTATTATTATAAACCACAATATTGGATATGTTTTACAAACTCTGAATATAACGTATTTAGACAAGTAAAATAATTTAGTTCCGTTTTTGAAATAAATCGCCCCTGGATTCTGATTACTCTATTCAATACATATCATATCAAAGGACACATTCTATGATTCTTATTTCTATTGTAAATAAATCTCTAGACTATCAAAAATACTCGGTCCGAGATGAATCAATTTGTAATCAGAATTGATATGGGGACATAATTTTTTCAAATAATGTGCTGTATTTTACAAAAAATGTCAAACTAGCATGCACTTGAAAAGTTGAATTTAATCAGTTTATTAATCTAATTAATAATCTAACTAATTAACATTTAAAAATTTTTCAACATAAGTTTCTGAGTATGGGTGAGATACTACAAAGTTAAAAAAATATATTTGGTTATCTTACAAGAAGCTAGTTATTAGCATTCACAGAGGTGGAGATATATTAAACATTTAATTTGTAATAGTTATTGATTTTTTAAATTCTAAAATGAAAATGTCAATAATAAATTAAACTAATTTCACAAATTAAATTAAGCAAATTAAGAGGATGTTTCAGCAAAACTCTTACCAGTGTCAATATACCAAAAAGCATTTATTTTTTAAGATTGGCCAAACGAAGTGATTTCGGATATAGGTGAATTAGCCAAAATCTGCCTATTTTGACTTCACGAATCTGTGGTCTTCCATTGTACACGTTATTCTGGGACACTCTGTACAAGGTGAGTTGGGAGAATTGCACCAAACTCCAGGAATGGATTCTACACGTCAAAATAATAAGAAATCAACTCAAATGTTAGGTATGCGATTTTCATTTGTTTCCAAGTAAGTGTACAGTAAGACCCCGCTTAACGCGTAGGATACGTTCCATCAAAGTAGAGCGTAATGCGAAATAGCGCTAAACGAGGCTATCTTAACATGTAAATAATGGGGTTAGGGGAAGATGGACAGAAAATTGGTTAGGAATTAAATTTAATAATTATGTTTTTTTTAAATAAAAATAAAACCAAACATTTATTTCTTACAAAAATAAAAACAATATAAACGAATATTAGTCAGTCAGATCATTCAGTCTATTCTGTTTCCAATTTTCTGCCTTTTTGTCAAGAAGGCATCTAATGTAGTTTGCGTTTTCCTTTTGAGTTCTGTTAGAAGTTGTTGATAAGTGGATAAAGCATCTATAACACCCCGTCTTGCTTTTGAACTCCTGTCAAAATTTGCATCATTTTCTAAATTCAAAGCAGCATTAATTTGAGATTGACGTTCACCAGAATCTAATCTTCTAATCACTTGCATTTTAGTTTCCAGTGCAACGCTTTTTCTGGTTGCTTTCTTTTCTTGTTTTTCATTATCACCCATGATAAAAACTAAAGGTCATAATATTTGTCACTGTATTAATCGTTATAGTATTATATAAATTTATACTTACAATAATGTCAACAAATGTTTCAACTGATAAAAATGCGTCCGTACAGCACTGCACCAATTAAGATACACAACTACACTGTTTCGGATAGGTTATGTACATATTTGGAAACCTAGCGCTGCGCACACTTTCGGGGAATCCCCGTAGTGCTGCGAGCAATTTCGGGGAATCCCCGGGTTGAAATAAAAGAGCGCTAAACCGAAACAGCGCTAAACGAAACAGCGTTAAGCGGAGTCTTACTGTAATTACAAATTTAAATTGGTGCGATTCGCCCGACTCACTCTGTATAAAAATATTACAAATAACAAAAATTCTTATAAAGGCAACTTTGTAGTAAAAAATGTGAATTAGTTAGCCGTGGGTGTGTTAGAATAGTGAAGAGTTAAATAAAACATCCTGCATAATTATTTTCTTATATGTTCAAGAAATACATTACACTCACATAAACAAAGACATGTACCAAATAAGAAGTTTCTAGCTAATTGTAAGTTTCAAAATGATACTAAAAAATGTTGTTCCGTAGTACCTCATTCAGTAGGCTTTATTTCATATATTTCACTAGGGATTGACTTATATATAGGTAAGTTGGTCTAAATTGTTTTACTACGATCCAAGATCTGTGGTTCAAGTGGTGTATCAATCTTCTCCCAGCCTGTACATAATAATTATGTAAAATTTTGGTATAAAATTTATCTAATAATTTTAAATTCTAGAGGGTGGCTCACTGGCAACAAATCACAAGTTGAAAAACAGCAATCTATTGCCATGCAACCTGCAGAAGCAATGGGTTGTCGATTTGGTTTATGCGATCTACATAGAACTGCCACAGATATCATATTATCACCTGATCGTAAACTTGCCGCTGTTAGTGATGCTCTCGGTAGAGTTTTATTAATTGATGCTTTTAAAGGGATAACCTTAAGGTTCTTTAAAGGATATCGAGAAGCACAGTGTGCATTTCTCCAAGTTCCTGATGAAAGAAAATCAAAACATAGGATAGGAAATAAAGTTGCCCATTTTTTAGTAATCTATTCCCCTAAAAAAGGTACCTTAGAAGTTTTCTCTGTTCAAAATGGTTCCAAAATAACAACTTTTACTGCCTCTAGATTTAGTAAATTAATTTATATTACCCACGGATTAATGGGTTTTACCACTACGTCTAAGTCTAAATACATTTGTCAGTTTACTACTATATTTATAGACAATGATGGACAAGTGAAAGAAATTGTGATACCCTTTCATTTTGCGTTAGCAGAGAAAAATAATAAACGTGCAAGGGATATACATTTGTACAAGAAACTAAGGCATCTTATAAAATCTGGAGAGTGCGATGAAGAACAGTTATCACATGAAATCTATAACACTTGCACAGAATTAAAAACCATTGAAATTAAATCTCAAATGGTTGACATGTTATTAAACAGTAAAGACATTCCAGCTGAAATAACTTTGCAATGCATACAGTATTTTATAGAAAATTTAGTAGAAGAAGAATGTAATACTTTAAAAACCTTGTGTGAGAATGCTAGTGTTCTATTAAAATTTTTCATATTTATTAGTAATTTGCCAAATAATGATCATTTAGATTTAGAAAATGGAAATTTAAAAAGAGCGGATAATACTACTTTAAATTTAAATGATAAGGAATTAAAAAATTTGCAGAAATTATTAGATTTAAGTACCATTAATGATCATATCAAAATAAATGAGGTGCATGTTTCCTTCTCTGATAGATCTGGGTTCTCCATAGCTGAGTATTTATCAATTTTTGATCTATCCAAAGTAGACAGTATATTACTTAAATCAGATATAGATGAAGCTGTTCTATTTAGAGCAGCTGAATTCACTTTTAAGCCTTATATTACAGGAGATCTTGTTAATTATGAAGAGTTACAAAGTGAAATTTTTAACAGCAAAATAAATACCAAAAATTTATTTGATTTGCTTGTAAATTACTGGGTTAATCGCTCTCTTTACATCAATCTAAATTTAACAAAAGAAATGAATAACCTTTCTTCTACCATATATGCATTAGTAAAAACTGCTGGTAAAGATATAATATCTACTGAATACAGTGAGGTTTCTAAGTTTTGGTCAGAAATTCGTGATATCTTGGCAAATTCATCTAGACCATTTCCGGCTTTAATGGCAGCTATTCTTTGTAAACAAGTGGCTGGTAAAATTGATAAAGAACTAGAAATGGATGATTCGGCAACAAGTTTAGAAGAAGAAAATATGGAAGTTCTTTCACAAGAAGACATTCAGTGGTCGCTGCTTATTGGTAAACTAGAAGATATTTCATTACTAAATATAATTTTGGCAACGAAGCCAACTGTAAATGAGTGTTCACTACCTAAGTTGCATCACGATAAAACAAATATCAGCCTAAAATTTGTTCTTTCCAGAGGAAAAGGTTCTATAAGTGAGCTAGTGGCTCAGTGGCTGACAAGTACTGGCATAAATCCTCAAAATATTATTAATGATGAAAATTATAGATATGATGTAAGTAGTGACGTAAAAATGGAAAATAATTCTGAAAATGTGCAAACTCAGTCAATAAAGGACGAACCTATTTGTGATCAGTTAAATCTTCTGAGGAAACACTTTCCTTATAGTTTAGAAGCAAGCACTATTCTTGCAAATATGGCCTGGGAATATGCTTTGGCTTGGCGAAAGGATATTCAAGATTTAAGCATCTTGGAAGCTGCCACCACTTGTATGGGCTTCATTGAAAACTTACAAATAAAACAGGGTAAGTGATCCTTATTTTTCACATTTATACTTTATACGTTTTAAAACTTCTAATAATGTGGGGGGTCCTATGTTATTTTAAGAGAAAAATTCTTATAAACATATGTTGACATATATAGTTAAGTCGTTTTGTATATTGTAATTCCTGGGATTAATTCCAATATTTAACATTCTTATTTATTTTGTCCAATCAAATCATCATGATCTTCGAGCAGCTTGGAAACGAATACAAGCAGAAATTTTTCTTCAGGGGAATTATTTTCAACTGATATTTAGTCATGTTTAAGTAATAGTGATAACAACTTATTGGAGGATCTATTTATGATGAGAGAATTAGATAAGCAAGCACCCAATTTATATTCATTTATATCAGGGATCGCACCTGGGACCTCTAATGTTTATAATTTAAATTAATAAAATAAAGAATTACTGCAGTTTAGAATATGATTTTAAACTATTTTTACCAATTTGTGATTTTACTGATTGTCTAAAACTTCAGAATGATCTTGAGACTTATAATTTTGTGTAAAAACAATAATTTGTTTATTAATATTGATAATGCCATATAATCACTTTTATCGGAAATAAACAACCATTCCTTTATCGATATAGTATTAACGACTTAATTTTAAGTCACAGAAATTAAATTAGAGACTTTGTAGTGATTTTTGATAGTAAAATGTTATTTGATGCCCATGTTAATAAACTAATATGAGGCAGTTGAAACAATTTATTAACTCTAAAGCTATCTTGCTTTTATGTTATACGTTTGTATTTAGTAAAATTAATTTTGCTTCAGTTATATGGAATTCTTAATATAATACATACAAAGTGATTTAGAACTTATCCAAAAAAAAAGTTTGGAAGTACAGGGGATTCTTACAAACACAATTTTATAAAGAAAAAATCAAAAAGGTTTGAAAATGACTTAAAAATACACTTCTGCACGGCACTGGAAACTGATCCACTGTAAAACCTGACCTCATACAATGCGACCAAAGTGTGATAAAAACGGATAAAAACTTGTGCAAGGAAAAAAATAAATAGAATTTTATAGCACCTTTATATCAGCAAATTCAACTGTTATTGTTATTATTAATTAATAAATTTAATTTGTGGTTTTAAATAATAAAATAATTTGACATACCTGATGTTACATCAACTGTTCAAAACTTTATCCACCGACATGTAAACACAAATGTTGTCTTGCTTCACCATAAATTAAAACAATATCCATCAACACTAAGTTGCTATACACGCAAGTCGTTTTTGACACTAACTACTAAAAAACTATTGTAAACACCACCACAGTAAACACTATTGCAACGACGACAATTGTAAAATCGGATTTCAGAATTAGGAGTCGCTGAGGCCACTGTTACAAAAAAGTTTTTTACAATATGACTCTATTTCTCTTATCGCATCTATTCCCAAATTTTTTTGGATAAGTTGTGAATCACCCTGTATATTAAGTCGCATTGAAATGATTCTATATATATTTTTTAAAATTTTTCTTATAAGTGTAGGCAGATGATGACAATTTCCATAGAATATGTGTTCAATATAAATATTTATCTGAAAAGTATTGGCGGATGTTGTTAATTTGTATAAAACTATTAATGATAAAATCGATTGTTATCAATTAGTTAGTAATTTTTTTTTAATATGCCTTGTAGGCCATTTAGGTCCTCCATAATAAACTTTCCTGTGTACAGAATGGTGTGTTCTTATAACAATATTTGTAGCAGTTTAGATTTATTCTCTACATCTTTAGTTTCATTTAAAAGATTGTTCAAACATGTACTTTAACAAAGTCTTTATGTAATATATTTGTTAAATTTATTGGATAGTGGATTTTTCACCTGTTTGTCCCAAAATACTAGAAGAATCTCTCACTAAGAACTCCAGAATTTAAAGTCATTGAGTATTTTGGAAATTTGTTGCTGCATTCAGGAATTAGAGGAAAAGAAAAAGATCTCTTTGATTCTATAAAGGAATCTTTTGAATACATTTTTTAACCGAAAGTAACTCTAAAAACTGTTTGTTTCACAAAAAAAGATCTGTATAAATATTCTGTTTTTAAATATAATTTCAAATAAAATGTAATCATCAAAAATGCAGAAAAAATAAATTGTGGACCATTTATTTTTCTTATTTTTAATGGCAATGACATATATTTCATATTTAAAATTGTGAGGCAAACAGTTTTAGAGTTGCGTTCAATTTCTTCAACTTGTAAGCTGAATAAAATATTTTTTTCCATAGAAATTAGATTTGGAATTAAATGCACCAATCGAATTTCTGAAATAACACACCGATGTCAAAATTCTGGAATCTTAATGAGGATGTTATTTAATAAAAATCACTATAAAAAGATTTTATTAAAACGTACTTAAGAACCACTCTTCTTTTGGGTTATATTATTGTCGAAGTTGAAATTATGAGCATTTACACATATTTTTAATTTTAGGTATGTACCAGCTATTGTGGAACACTCATTTGAAAATTGTTAATGAAAGTGCTTCTAAATTAATAAACAAAGTAGGCAAGTTACCTAAAGAAAGGCTGTGTCAACAAGATACTGGCCTATCAGACTACCAGATATCTCTCTTCATACGTATTTGTACTGGTTTTCTGGATTCCTTCATGGATGTAGCTCAATTAAGTTATAAAGCTCCTAAAACTGTTCTGCAATTTGAAAATATCTGGGAAAATGGTGGGCAACCTCTAGTGGAATTAGCAGCTCTACAACGAGAAGTCAATTATAATCTACTGCACCTACATTATCAGCTGAGTTTCGTTTTACACATGATCACTACTTTTTCCATAAAACATACAAAACCCTTAAATAATCTCTTTGAACCATCTACAGTGAATTTACTTTTCACTGATTTACAAAACAGGATAGATATAAATTGGAACAAATCTGATGTAAGGATTAATACTTCTAGAACTCAATTTTTATGTAAAATCATATCAGCCAGCTTAGAAACTGTCACAGAAAATGAAGAAGGTAGTATATATTCTAAGCAACACGTTAATTGGATGGCAAAATGTGTGACGCTAGCACGGTTCTGGAATTTGGATGTTGATATGTTAAAGCGATTTCAGATCGTCCAACTGTATTCAAATGGATTTGATAGTATAGCAGAAGAGCTTATTCCTGCAGTTAATGATTCTCATGAATTAGGAATGCAACTTTTGACTATTGCATCAAAGCGATTGGCGCAGTTTTTATCGTTATCTCCAAATTTAAGTACAAATATATCAGCACTCAGTCCATATCTAACGAAACACTTACAATCTTTGGTAAGTTAAAAGATTTTTTTCCTCAACAACTAATATAACGGATAAATAAGTATGTTTTAAAGAGATGAAGCAGTCATAGTATAGTCATTCATAAGAATGAATATCAGTGTAATAGAAATTTGAATTTGTTTAGTTTTTTAATTGCATTATTTTGCAATGATAGTTGTTTTTTGGATTTGTGGAAGGTTAAATAGGATACAGAGTGTTGTTCCTTAAGTTATTTTAAACTAAAAAGCCTTAATGAAAAGTTTAAAGCAACTGGTTTTTAAGGTGCAGAGTTGAAATAAAAAATGCCAGAAATTTTTCCTGTCTTTTTTTGTGTTAAAGGTAATGAAAAATTGAACATTTTATTTTAGTTTATTTATTCTTTAGAATTCAAATATGTCATATTAGTCTTGTCATACTGTTTATCGGGACCGAGTAACCACGTTCAACTTTTTTCTTATTTGTCCCTTTTGGATTTTAATATTTTCTAATTCAGCACATTTCTCGGATTATGGTGATGTGTTATATATTGCAGCTTTTCTATCGTAATACTAGATTTAGTATGATCCACTTTTACAAAGAATGCTTTGAAAAAAAAACCATCCAGTTATTAACTAAACCAAAATTTTGGCAATTCAGTTAAATTTTCATCGACAGAGTCAAGTTTAAAGGATTAATGAAGCAATTTTCACATGAAGAAAATGAAAATTGTGATGCTAGTTCCCTAAACTTGACATTTTTTTTTTAAAATGCAATGGTGCACAAAAAATTTAGACAGATCACTTCATGTGGACTAGGTAAGTTGTCTATTGCCCACGAGAGCGGAGTTGAGCGCACGAACGAAGTGAGTATGCTAATCCGCTCAAATGGGCAATAGACTACCGCACGATTTGCACATACTATTTTTTATTATGAATGCAGTGAAATCTTAGAGCCCACGAGCGAAGTTCCGGTGGGTCCACAGATTTTTATTCAGTTTAGGTTGACATAAATAACTGTCATTTAAATGTCACTTTTTAAAAATAATATTTTCGTATGTGTATTTAAATTTTGAATGTTTTATTATCAATTCGCGTGCAACAAGTATGATTACCACACGCAAATAAATAGAGTAGGCAAACAGCTATTTACCAACCTAAAGCACAAGCAGAAAGATAGGACTTATCCCGCACGAGTAATAAAAATGTATATTTTAAAGTTCTAAGAGATAGGTAATAATTATATTTTTTATAAACGAAATTAAATAAGTATTCTTGAAATCTGGATGTTTTCAATAACCTCCTGAAGTGTATTAAATGTCAAAGATTGACATTTATGACTGAGATTTGTTTCCAGAAAGTAACAGTGGAGTAATCGCACTACCAGTTTGTCATGATTTAGTTGATTATGATAAGATACTTTTAATGTTTGTATTCATTAGGCGACGGTTACATTTGATACGAACTCGTACAAGAATCTTTTTGTATGAAGTATCAGATTAAACCAAATATGTGAACTACAATACAATACTACAATACTAAAGAGTTTAGATCAATTTTATTTATTTAAACTGTCACTTGCCCAGCCAGCTAGCCCAAGGGGAGGAAAAAGGGGAGCGGGTTCTCAGGTCTTTGAATAATTTCTCGAATATTTGGATTTAATAGCATTTATTCATCATCTAAATTTACAATTCGGTCGCCTGTCAACTACTAACTCTACTAAGTACCCTCTAAGAAAAATCTTGGGATTCTTCGCCGTTGATAGCTACTCAATTCACCACCGTACAAAGCGGAGCACACTCACCCCGAAGTTCCCCGGTTTTCACCAACACTTTTTCTTCTTCTGGTTTTTTACTTCCTTTCCTTAACCAAAATCCAGGTGACACTCCGTCTGTCTCCACACACTGACATCTCGCTACCTCCTTCGATCAAAACTTAAAACTAGGAGTACAATAGGTTTCCTAACTAAACGGAGTAGGAGCAAGGTGCCCGTTACATCACCCCCCAGTTTAATTGAGCAAACGACAAGTATCGTGAACTGATTAAATAGTGGCGAAATTCAACTGCAATAAAACTGTTTGACTAGCAAAATAGAAAACATAAGAAGCAAAACAAAAACACACACTATATTTCTAATACCGGAGCATTAAACAATTTTAAATTATAAATATTTTGAACACCTAAGCAGGCACCAGTGGAGTCCTCTACTACCCTATAAGCGTTTTGATTCACTACTTCCGTAATGGTGCAAGGACCACGAAATAAAAGAAAAAATTTCTTGATTTCTTTAGTGTCAGCCGACGACACGGGATGACAACGTACCCATACTTTCTCACCAACGCTTAACTTCCATAATCGTCGCTTTAATTTTTCATGGCGTTCACGCCTTTTCGCTGCTTTAGTCAAGAGATTGTCTCTAGCTAACAATACAATTTCATTAGAATGGAACTCATATTTTGTCGGATATGGGATATTACTGATAATTTTATTTTCACGATCTTTGGAAAAATGAATTTGGTTTGGTGTAAACCCGGTACTATCATGCAGGACTCGATTTAACCAACCTTCGATTTCTTTTAGAACACAACCCCATCTAGTATGCTGAGCATAACAATAGGATCTCAAAAGCCTACCGATCTCTTTATTCACCCGCTCTGTAGGATTTCCTTGCGGAAAATAAACAGAAGTGTGAGCTACACCAATGCCTTGCTCTGTTAAACCCTCAATCCATTTATGACTACTAAAATAAGTGGCATTATCGGACAAAACTACGCGCGGTTTGCCTACTCGAACAATGTATTTATTCAACAGGGCATTAAGAATTGCTTTGGTCGTACAACGTTTCAGAGCATATAAACACACAAATTTACTGAAAGCATCCACCAGAACCAACAACTGAGTAGCTCCTCCCCTTGAAACAGGCAAAGGCCCCACGATATCTAAACACGTCACCTCATTTGGACCATTCGGTACTAGACTATTCATTTCACCTCTCAATCTTTCGCAAGGTTTAGCTTTCTGACACAGTTCACACCCCGCAATTATACGACGCACAGTATGTCTCATTTTTGGCCAGTAATAGTACCTAGACAAATATGCCAAACACTTAGCCGATCCAAAATGACCATTGTTTTGATGTTCCTCGGCCACCAGAGTTACAATCTGACTTTTCGGAATAACTAACTTATGACCAGGGTTAGTATCTACCCCTCGTCTAAAGAGAAGATCCTCATTTTCTATAAACCAGTCACTATATCGTTTAGGAACGTCTCCTTCCTTCAACATAGCCTTCACACGACAACAAAATTCATCAGTATTTTGAGCCCTTAGGATATTTTTAAAATTTTTATAAACTTTTTTCGACAATGATTTATCCTCTAACAAGGCAATCTCAATATGAGAACGATCCGGAACTTCCATGCGGCTACCCTCCTCACGAACTATCGGAAAACGCGATAAAGTATCGGCCACAACATTTTCAGATCCCCGACAGTATTCTATATTAAACGAATACTCTTGAAGGTACAATACCCACCGCGACAAACGAGAATTCAGCAGTTTACAAGTACGTAAAAACGAAAGTGCTTTATGGTCAGTCACCACAGTCAGATCACGACCTAACACAAAAATACGCCAATGCTTCAAACTCGCAACAATTGCCAAAGCTTCTAGCTCGGTCACTGTATAATTTAGTTCTGGTCCCTTCAAAGTTCTACTATAGTAGGCTATCACCTGTGGATCCCCAGATTCCTTATTTAATTGATAAAGGCATGCCCCTAATCCAAAGGAGGAGCTATCTGTCCTTACATAAAACCTACGCTCCGGATCCGGATGCGCTTGCATCGTAACCCGCAAAAATGCCTTCTTAATCTTATTAAAATTATCTGACTCACGCACCCCCCAGTTCCATTTACTTTTCTTCTTTAATAAATGTAAAAGAGGTTTCACTAACTCAGAACACCCCTTACAAAACCTACGGTCATAATTAATGAGACCAAGAAATGACCTTAGCTCTTTGATATTCCTAGGCGCACGATACTCCATAATCGCGGCAATTCTGTCCGGGTCCATTTGAATACCTTCCGGCGTCAAAATATGACCTAGAAAATGAATCTTTCTCCTAGCAAATCGACACTTACGAAGTTTAATCGTTAAGCCAGCGTCCCTTAATTTGGTAAAAATAATCCTTAAATGTGCGAAGTGATCCTCGGCGGTTTCGGAAAACACTAGAATATCATCCACATACATAATTACAAATTTGTCAATTTCATCCCCTAAGACAATCCTAAGTCCTCGAATAAAACTACCCACTGACGTAGACAAGCCAAACGGCAAAACTCTAAAAACATACGTATCACCTTCAAATGAGAAACCTGTATACTTACGATGGTCCTTAATAATCGGACTCTGCCAGTAGGAGGCGCTTAAGTCGAGAGTAGTTAAACACTGCCCGGGAGAAAACTTGAACAAGAACTCATTAGGATCGGGAGGGGTAACATGATCCTTTACCATCCTTCCATTTAAAAATCTCGCATCCAGACATACTCTAATTGACTTGTCTTTTTTTTCTACCACCACCAGCGGACTGACATATTCGGTTTGGGATTTTTCTATAACCCCCCATTCAACCATCTCACGAATCTGACTCCTAGCCTCCTCACGATAGACATGCGCTATAGGATATCCTTTTAAATGAAACGGACTACTATCTCTCAAAACTATTTCATGATGATAAACATCCATTAAGCCCGGCTGATCAGAGAAAATTTGCTGGTATTCACAAAGCAACTCATTCAGCCTTTCACAATCTGACTCCACAAACACCTCAGCTTTAAACGCCACCTCTTTTATTTCCTCAACAGAATATTGTCTCTTTTCAGGCCTTTGAACTCCTATTTCTAACTTATCACCCTCTATTCTAATTTCTTGCACTCCTACTTCATTATTTGACGTTACTCCTAACTTTACAGTCTGATACGTTCCTTTAAATATTCCTCTTAACTCAAATTTTTCAAAATCAATCACCACAGAATATTC